ATACATAACATAAACTGAAATGAAAATTCTTCGGTCATATACACATACTCACTATTAATAGTGGAATTATTCCTTTTTCCTTTCTTCCTTCTTCCTTTCTTTTCTGCTTGTTGATTTTGACAAATAATGAAAGAGTATTTATAGAGATTTTCTTTCCCAATATAATGTTTACTATACTTTTTTTCTTATCGTATAATTTAATTTTCTTTTTTCTCCAATTTAAACATTCTCGTTAAAATATATCAGGTTTATAATAGACTTTAGACATCTTGAGGTGAAATTAAATACATTTCTCTATTCATGCTTACCTTCTTGCCAAGTATAACTTGTCTTTGCTTCCTACTACCTTGCCCTATAAAGTTCGAACTCTAATCATCCGTTTACTTCATATGTGGTTGTATGTCTACAGCTGTTCTTACTGCGGTATGTGAAGTAGAGAAAGGCATAGCGACTACACGATGAAGAAAAAAAGTCCGAGGACAAGAATAGCATGCGCAAGCTTCACATATGCGCATACACAATAAGAAAAAAAAAAGAAACAACAATGATTCTTTACTGTCGCGTCTTTTTTTTTTGTGCGTTTTGAAAAGCGTCTTCAACAGTGGATGACACGCGAACAAGGCAAACAATAATGAGAAGAAAAAAACGTGATAGGATTGAAGAATGTCAACAGTACAAGATAATTCAATCTCTTGACATTGACCTGGAAAGACTAAATATGAAATAATTGGAATTATTCTTCGTTTTTATCTTCTACATTTTCAACATAAGAAAAAAAAGAAAATGAACCTCTCGAATAAATGTTATTTTTATCCTATATATATTTCTCTTAATATAATCTTAAAGAGCACTTGGTATTTTTAAGGCCTAGATCTCTATCTTCTTGAACACGTTACCGGAAATAAAAATGAGTAACAACAGTAAGTAGAGTATAAGCGGCACTATCGGTCGATTGATTATTCTCGTTCAATTTTCATTTTTGATTATATATATATATTGCCGATCGTTCGATTGCCCGTCGGCAAGTAGTTCAACAATCAGTTCCATAATACATATATATATTTCTAGCAGAAGAAAACGTTTTATTTTTTACTTTAAATTGATGATTGCTTTTGAGAATTTTTCTTCATCTCGACCATGACGTCAAATAGAAGTATACTGATGATAGATTCGTGTAGTTAAGAACGGAAATAGAAAATAAGAAAACAATTTTCTTCTACTCAAGTATTCATCGTTCGCATGATAAATCTCTCCTTACTAATCAAGACTATACTATAAGAAAAATATGATTGAAAAAAAAATGCGCATATACACAAAAGCTAAATGCAATCTGATCATACCAAGAGGAAATACTTAGATTGAATAAATCGTCTGACATCATTAGACAAATATCTCTAGAAAAGCTTAAAACGGAAATAATAATGATCTGTTTTATGTATACTCAATATCTTTGCTAATTCGGTCATAGTAAATTCCTTTATCTTTTCTAGAAAGATAATAGTCTCATATATATATATATTATATATATACATATCAGTATAAGAATGCTTCTTTGGCTAAGATAGATAAGAAGTGTAGGAAGAGCGATGGAAAAAAATTTTTTTTTTGTCAACAGATAACTTACGTAATAATAGTGAAATGATCGTTGTTGACATTGACTAACAGTATAGTTGACACATATTGACGTCATAGATGATTCCTCTTTCTTCCGTTTATTGATAATGCTTTAGCAATCGACGTCATGATGAACCTTGACAATATTTTCCTCACATTTCTATCAGCTGTTTTTTCCTATCTTGACTTTTATCATCGATATATACATTAAAAAAAGATACTTACCATAAAAGTTACTTCTCAATATTGACAATAAGAAACATATTGTCATATTACAATTCAAAATATATGTTTTAACGCATTGGTTGAACAATTGAATTTGCTTGTGCTTCATTAATTATTATAAGAAAATTCTAACTGACAGCCGAAGAATGATAAGAAAGAAAAAGTATTTAGGTTACACCAATTGTTTCTTCATTATATAAATAGGATTTTAATAAAAAAAGAAAAACAAAAAAAGACTGTCAAAAACCGTTGAGATAAAAAAGCTCCGACATGTTTAATTATAATAAGACTCAATCATTTTTTTTTTCTTTTCCTATCCGAATATATATCGACGGAAAAGACTTAGAAAATGCCAATACATCTAGTCTTCTATATTTGATTAACAATATGAAAAAAAAAAACGAAAGGGTAGTGCTTGTCACTCATGTTTTGATAATGAAGGTGGTAGAAAGGGCAAATATCGTTCCATTGTAAATGACATCTTATTCTCATGCGCAGTTTTTCTTTCTTCTTATTCTCTCTGTTTCTTATTTTTTTTTTTTTTACTTAGAGAACTTCATCGAGAAATCAATTTATGATAGTCAACAAAACTAAAGAACAATAGGTTTATCGAGTTTTTCTTTTTAATCGTGTTTGACGTTTGTTTGTGAAGTAATACAAGAAAAAAAAAACAAATAAATATTTATGCAATCGAGCTTGTCGTAAAAGGAAACAAGATAAGAATATCTAGAAATAGATTATTATATTTAGTTTTTACTTACTAAAACTTAAGAGAAGATAAATTGTTATTATAATTATTATAATTTATCAAAATGTAAAATCTGAGAAGAAGAAAAATTTTCATCTCGTAATCTGATCTTGATCAAGTATTAATGACAATTATGGGAATCAAATAACTTTTTACTTAACGAAAAAGAAAAAAAAAAAGAAAAATTGATCATTCTCACATGACATCAACTTTTGTTTCAAACGGTGAAACAACAGGACATGAGAAATAAATAAAGACGTAAAATATCGTTTTCCTTGTGAATTATATTGCCTGGATTATAAAAAAAGAACTTCCTTTTTTTTCTTCTTTTCTCGTCTTTTTTTTCCTTTTTTTTGTTGTTGTAAAAACAACCGACAATAATGACTGCAATATAACACAGACACACATACATGTATATATGTATATATATATATATATGAATGACGTATGTGAATCAATTATACATGAAAACAAAAACTTACAAAGAAATGAATGAAACAACCGATAAAAAATCCATGATTATATATCAATTTGTTTATATGTCTGTTAGTCTTATCACATATTGATAACAGTTTATATATATATGCTAAAAATATGAGTATAAATGATATTAAAAGGAATCATATTTTATAGATCAAATGTGTTCCTTGAATTATAATAACATGAAGTACAACCATTTATTTTTCTCATCTTGTTTTACCATTAGAAAAAGTAAAAGATAGAATCTATTCATGCTCTATTAATTTGGAATTGTTTTTCTCTCGTGTTTATTCACATTTCTTAGAAACATACATATACAAAAAAAAACCGAGGTAAACATGTTTTATCTAAATTATCTCTATTCAGTTCATTGAGTCAGATATTGATCACACGACTTAATTTTTGCACACGATTGAGTAACAAGTCACCTTTTTTAATTACTTCTTGATAAAGAAAATTCTTTGAATCTGGTCTTGTTGTTTCAATAATTCCACGTACTTTATCAATTTTACAATTAAGTCTACCACTTGCAATGAAACGTGATAATTCTTTATCAAGAAATCCATCTGAACAACCAAATGCTTGTGCCATACCTTTAAGTGTTAATGATGAATATGATTGTAATAATTGATTATATGCTATAATACGCATTTCACGTACATAATATGTTGTATGTGATATTAAATATCGATCTTTACTAAGTAAATCTTTTTCAATTATTGCTAAACAACGAAAAAAATCTGCATAACGACATTCATAAAGTGAAAATAAATATTCTTTAATTAATGGAAGTCCATGTAAAATTTCAAGAATTTCACTACCACGAATAACTAAAATAAAAAAAAAAAACAAATTTGGGAAATAAATTCGAAGTTTCTATATTGATTTGTTAATTAAATGTTCGTTTTCTTTCTCTTATAGAAGTAATAAGTAATTTGAATGAAAATAATTATACATATAAAAAAAGAATATTAGAATAATTAATAAATTATTTTTAGACTTTGATGAATATTTTATTCAATAGACATAAAAAATGAATATATTTATTAAACTAAGAATTAAGGAAAAAAAACATCAAACAACAATACCTTTTTCTCGTAATTTTGGTCGTTCAAGTGCAACAAGTGAACAAATAACTGTATATGTAACAAATGTTTGATAATCCATTAATTCATAAGATGTAAATGTTGCAACTGTATCAAGAAATAATTCAGCAGCTGATTTAAAATCTCGAATTGACATAGAACGTAAACCTTGATAAACTTTCATACGATTACGTCTATCCCAATCACCACCTTCATCAACTAATGTTTTAGCTTTATCTAAATTTCTTTCAATTAAATCTTGATCCATATAAAATAAACCTAAACGTAATTGATAAAAAATTAAATCAAGACGATGTCCTAATGTAACAGTTTTATCATAAGTTTTTCTTAACCATATTAATGCTTGTTCACGATCAATAATTGTACATAAATATTGTGTTTTAGCTAAATAACTTTCACGTATTTCACTTTCACCAAATGTTTTTTCTGTTTCTTCAATTTTTTCATCAAATTCTTTAAGTTTTTCTTCATTAATTTTCTTCATTGTTTGAAGAAGTTTATCATCATATGATAATTGACCATCTTTTATACATTCATTATAAAATGGTGTCATATTATTTTGTTTAATTTCATTTAAAAGTTTTTCTTTTAATATTAAATCATTTGATTTAATAGTTAATAAAAATTTTATTTGTGCTAAATCAAGATTTGGTACTTTAGGAAGACCTTCATCAGATAAATCTTCGATAGGCATTATCTACAAATAAAAAGAAAAACAAAAAAAAAACAAACCAATATATCTTGAAAGACATGAATATATATTATCTTTTCTCTATAACAAAAAAAAAACAACAACTACAATAACAATTAATATCTGACTGAAAATTTTAAGAACGTATTTGTTGTCCATAAAAACGATGATCATAATCAGCTTCATCATAACCTTGTGGTATATGACTAGCTGGTACTTGATCTTCATAATAACAATCATCTGAATCAGTTGAATGACAACCGGATGATGTATCAGTTAATTCTTGTTGATTATTATTATTATCATCATCAATATTATTTAATTTATCGTTTTGTTGTTGTTGTTGTTGTTGTTGATGATCATCATCATCAATGTCATCAATAAGATATTTATTATCATCATTTAATTTTAATTGACGTTTATCATCACGTATTTGTTCCCATTGTTGATTAACAGTTCGACGACGTTTTTCTGTATCAGATTCATCATCTGAACCATAATCAATAATAAAAAAATCTGGTCGTGGTTCAATTGGTCGATTTGTTAATGTTGTCCACATAAAACCTTCATTAGCTTTACGTATTGTTAATAATATATTTGAACGACGTACTTGAAATAAACATTTTTCTGGTATAATATCATAAGCTAAATATATTCGTACAAAACGATCATATGTACGAATTTTTGTTCGACAATAAATTGAATTTTTTTCAAATTCGACACGTGTTTGTGTCGAATCAACATTATAAAAACCAATTGTTAAATAAATATCTCGTGATGTTTGTTCCCAAAAAAGACGTGTTTTACGTTGTGTTTGTTTATAATCAATTTGTTCTTGTGTTAATGGACCACGTTCATCAATAAATGGTTCATAACGACTCATATTTGGTACAGGAATTTTTTGTTCATTTATTTCATTGTTTATATCATCATTATTATTATTATTATCTTGATTGTTTGATTTCAAATTATTATTATTATTACGCATATGACGATTACGATTACGTTGAACAGGAAAATCTGCTTGACGACGTTGTTCATCTTCCATATCTTTGATTTGACGAAGTTGAGAAAATAATTTTGGTCCAAAGATAAACATCATTTGATCATTATCATCAATTGTTTCTTGTTCTAATTCTAATGATTTAATAGTTGTTGTTGTTGTTGGTATTGATGATTCTGGATTAGGAATTGTATCAGTAGTATCCTTTTAAAAAAAAAATCATAATTGATTTTTTTTTTATAAATTTTATTCGTTAAAAAAATAAAGAATCGTTTTGATAATCAATTTTAGTAATTAAAATGATAAAAAACAAGTAAATTACAGAAATATAGAGAATATTTCTATTAGCTTAACTCTTTTTTTTTGTGCTTAGAATCGAACTTTACTCACAAATGTCAAAATTAGTGATCCTTGACGTGCGTAAAATAGTACTGAATTAGATCTGTTAAATGGCAATATATTAATCATTGAGAATTATTATTAAAAGAAAGTTGAAATGAGATTCAATCAAATATAATATATGCAGCATTGTTCTAACAAGAGAAATATAACTAGTTCAACTTGAAGAAAATCATATTTTTCTCTAATAGGATATAACGAAAAATTCTGACTCAATCGAAAAATTTCCATTCGATAATTTTTTTAACTCATCCATAGAAACTATCGGATCGAGACACTTTTCAAATATTGTGTAGAGTCTTCAAATTCGTAAAAAATATTAAACTTCGTGAGTTAGATTTATAAATGGGACACAACGGTGATTATTCAAAAATGAATAAAATGAAACATGATTGCCTAAGAGTTACTTTGTTTTCAATATAATCTCATAAATAATATGATCTTTCTGATAAATTTTTTCTTAGGATTAATAGCTAATGGAAAAAAAACAGTCTATAACTGTTTTCAATAACTTCTTAGTGATAAAACATAGAAATCTGCTGATTCTAATATAGCATTTTTTCAAGACGAGAACTTTTTATCATAGGAATGGATGATTTCGAATTGATGTCAGAACTAATTATTCTATAATATAACAAGAAAATAAAGACTAACGTTTGTGACATAATCCTAAAAATGAAAGATTTAACTACAATCTATTCAATTTTTATGTCATTCAAGACAAATAAGTCATTTATAGTTCATTTTGAATCTTTACAGTGAAATAGCTTCATTCAAATTTAACTTGAGTAAAGAATTGTTACAAAATAAGTTTCTTTAAAACTTTTCTGTTTCTATTTCATCCAGGCACTGACTAGGCATAATAGATATGCAAAATAACACAATAAAATACAATTGAGTATTACAGAAATAAACATTTCTTATCCACGAGACATATCTTAATTACATTTTTATGCTCCGGTACGTTCGTTTTCTTTCTGTATAAATCACATATGTTCTCTATTGCGCTCTTTTTCTTTCTAATGAAAAAGTGTAGGATGTTACATTCTTCTCGTCACCCCTACACCCACAATATGAATGTTAAAAAAATTAGCTCGTGGAAATGTTTATTAATAGAAAATAAAGTAATATTATTTTTAGAAAAACTTGTTATACTTATTTCTCTGGAATAAATATCTTTAGGATTTTTCTCTATTCTATAAGTTCAATCGGAGGGATAGCTGAGCTGTTCGACAGGTATCCACAAGGTGCTATGTACAAAATTCAGTACCACCAGCCATGAAATGACCCTGTGCAAGTCACTACGATCTACTGCTAAGCAGTACTATATACTGCAAGGTAACGATATTCTTCTAAACGAAGAGTATCAACTGACGATGTTTTCTCGTCAAATAATTCAATTTCGATTAATTGATAAATTACCTCAAATATTTCATCTTCTTCTTGTTCTTCAATTTGTTCAGTTTTTGTTTCACATTGTATCATTTTACTTGGTTCAACTTCTGATGGTGTTGTTACATTTGAATCAATTGATGACTGTTGAATATTTACTAATGTTTGAAATGGTGAATATTCATCGGAATGTTGAAAATCACCAGTATTTGATATTGATGGTGGTGGTGAAAGAAGAATATTTTTTACTAAAGATGATGATGATTCTGTATGTATTTTATGTCCACGACCAAGTGGAATATATCGATCAATAGTATTATTGTTTTCTATAGTTGATTGTACATCATTAATTTCTGAAGAAATTCTTTTAACAAAATCAAAATTTTGTAATTCTTGATTATGTTTTATAAAAAATTGTTTTGATCGACCAACAGGATTAATAATAAGTTGTCCACTACGATTACAAAATGGTTTAAATACAGGTAAAAAATCTTCAATAATTTCTTCTTTGATTATATCTTGTTCATTAAATTTTATTATTGATTTTGATTGTTCATTGATTTCTTCTTTAATTATATCTTGCTCATTAGATTTTATTATTGATTTTGATTGTTTATTGATCTCTTCTTTAATTATATCTTGTTCATTAGATTTTATTATTGATTTTGATTGTTTATTGATCTCTTCTTTAATTATATTTTGTTCATTAGATTTTATTAAGAATTTTGATTGTTCATTGATTTCTTCTTCTTTTTCTTGATTAGATATTGTTAATTCACTAAGTTTAGCTGTCATAGCCATACGTTCAAGTAAATTCATATGATTATCATTTGATTGAACAAGTTTAGATAAAATCAATTGTTTACGTATTGGTTTATCATATGCAACACGTTTAAGTGCAGCTAAACGAACTGGTTTAACAAGTGGATCAATCCAAAAACATGAACGTGTTGCTAATTTAATTCGTCCCATAAATATTTCATTTAATGTTAATGAACGAACAGTTTCAATTGTAAATGGTGTAAATGTCATTGTTATTTTATCTAATGGACATATATTACATAAGATTATTTCAGTTGCTAATGGTGGATATTGTTTTAATGATGATGGTTCAATAGGATAGAGATATTCATTAGATTTTAATGTAAATGTTATACCAGTATCAAGACTGAAAACAACTAATGTAGGATGATCGACTGTTGTAAGAGATGAACTAAATAAAGATTAAAAATTTAAAAAAAATTTTTTTGCAAAAACTTCTTTCTTGTTTAAGACTATTGCTATTTGATCGGTCATGATGAGTCGCAAAAAAACGAACCTCCTTTGATTTGGTTCTCTAGTCTTTGATTATTGAGCTAGGATATGGGTACCACACCCACAAACGCATATCTCCATACAAATACGTGTCTCCAAACTCAAACTTTGAAGTGTTTCTACAGATCTGTGGATAAAATTTCAGCTCGAAATTCAATCATTCAGATTCTCAGAGATCCTATGTTCAAAGGACAAAAATCGAGTAAATTGTTTATAATTCAACAAACGAAGACCGAAAAACCAAATCGAAGCAAAACTTTTTTTACTATTCATCGTCACTGATTGAATACAATAGTCTCAAACGAAAAATGTATATGACAGTTGAGAATGTTCCTTCGTGAATTTTCTTTTGTAGAATCTTTAAATAATTTAATAGACTCTTTTAACTATAAATCAAATGGATGAATTTACTGATGTGTCACTTTGCACTGCAGCAAGTTATTCGTTTAGTAGTGTTTAAGTTGTTGACAGTTTTATGAAATCTTCCTTGAATAAATTGAATGAATTCAATCTTCTAGTCTTTTCTCTATTTATGATACGATATTAAGAAAATAACCTGGTACCTAAAGATATGAGAGGTTGCCTTGACTTTTTTAAAAAATTTATTAAATAATAAAGTCATACGGTTGATAATTTCGTCTAATGTATATGTCTTACAATCCCGGGATGATAATAAACAATGAATCTACTAATAAAAGTATACAGAATAAAATTTTCTCTAACGATGAAAAAATAGTTTTAATCTTTAAAAAAAAAAAAACTTAATTCTTATCGTCTATTTAATTAATAAATTAAAAATTACTTTTTTTCATTAATAGTTGATATTGATTTATTTGTATCTTGTATATTTTCTTTATTTATTATAGTATTTGATACTTTTAATAATCTATTTAAAATTGAATCAGCTCTTCTTATATCAAAATAAGTATGTTCTTGTTCATAGACATAAACTCGATGTATTTTATTATAATTATCAATATAAAAATAAATTTCACCGGGTGTTATTTCACTTAATGGTTGATTTTTAACATAATTAAAACCATTTTCAATTTGTTTATAAAATAAATCATAATCAAATATTTTAATTAATGTTTGATTAATATCATTTCTTGTACGTAATATATTTGCCCATAAACGATTACCATCACTAACATGTGTTATACGTAATTCAATTTCACCTTTATTAGGTAAACATAATTCATATGAATCAGTTAAAAAATTTTCATTTTTTTTATCTTGTTGTTCAATATAATCAACATCATAATGAAAATGATGTCTATATGGACAACGTTTTAAAATTTTTTCATTTAAACATTGTCCAAACATTTTTAATGTTGGACATAATTCAACATTAATTTTAGCTTGTAATGATTCATAACAATTATTTTTAGCTAAACGTTCAATTAATGGATGTAAATAATTATTTGAATTATTTATATAATCAATTAAATCATATGTTACTTGTGCACAATCACCTGGCCATAATATAACAATTAATGGTATATTTATTAATGTATTTAATTGATAAAATTTTTCAATTAATTTTATTGATGTTAATTCAATTTTTTTAATTTTATTATTTATATTAATATTATTATTTAATAAATGTTTATGTATTAATTTCATACGTTGATTATATAATTGATACCATATAAAACGTTGAATATCAAGATGTATAATTATATCTGTATTATCAATTGTAATATCATTTAATATATCATCTTGAATTAATAATATTAATAAACGATCATTTATTGTTTGCCATTCATATATATATTGTTGAATTTCATCATTAGTTAATTGTGAATGTATTAATATTGATTGTATTGATAAATCATTAAGTATACTTTGCATTGTTGCTAAACGACGTATTTGATGTGCACACATAACAATTTTTTTTTGACAATGTATTGCTAAATCTAATGTTTCTTTAATAATATATTTACGATCAGTCCAATTTCGACATGGTTCACAATAGACAAAAAAATTTTTATATGTATGTGTTTCCATCATAGATGATGAAAGATAATAATAATTTTTATTTGATGAAAAATGTTCATAAATAAAATTTTTTGTTTGTTGATTTACAATACGAGATAGAAAAAAATGTTGAATAGATGTAATTTTATTTTTATGTAATTCAATAAGATTTAATATTTCATTTATTGATTCAATTGTTTGAAGAAGAAGATCAAATTGATCATACTAATAAAAATAAAAATAATAGAAGATTATGATTTAAATAAATTTAAAATTCAATGAAGTTTTTCTTTTAGTTACATTGAACTTACAAGGAAAGATCTCTAGATGATTAAAAGCTTTTGAATCGATATTATACTGAATATAAGCTAATGTCACTGACATCTTCATCTAGGCAAAGCTTTCAGACCAAATCTCAACAATAGGGTTTTACTGAAAAATTGGATCCATACAGGGAAAATTCACTCTAAAAGTCAAATCTTAATATCAGCATGAACCATTTGGAGCTGGTTCTAATAGACATTGAGTGCGTCAATTCAGTGTTTAGCTTTAAATTAGCGGCACATTTCAGTTTATTCATTTTAACAAAATTAGAAGTATCCGTGAGAACCACCTAAACTAATATCCGTCATATGAGTTCATCTTGGATGTACAAGGATACCTTGATAAGGCTTTAAAAAACTCTAAAAGCGTTTGTCTCTATGAATTTTTGAAGTCTAGCTATGATCATGTTACTGAATTTTCGAACCAACTTTAAATATATACCGAAAAAAGAAAAGAATTTGGACGTAAAATTTTACCCATAGATAGCTCTAACAATTCATAGGATATTTCTTCTGTCGAAATATTGAATTTTATAGTAAACTCAACAAAGAACTATTCTTTTCGGTTGAAACTTTTAGGATATTCTGTGGATCACTCGACCTATGTATGGGCAAAATTTCAAGTCAAAAATTCAATAAAACAATCCTTACTCGACTCCAAAGATCCATAAGAATCCTTTCAGATCTTTTCTAGTCTTATCAAGACCTCCGTATTAGCCCAATATGAGTTTAAACGAAGAGTTTCAATTCGAATGGTTCCCTCGCGTCAGTTAAAAACTGACTTGGAAAGACAAAGGCCAGTTAAAATCCATCCAGCACTCATTACCATTATGATATACTTTTTTTTCTCAACTTAACTGCAAATAGTATTCGTTTTTTTCATCAATGAGATCGATATAGCGAGAAAAAAAAAGCGATCTTTTCTCCTAGAAATTTAGTTCCTATCTAAGGACAATAGTCTTTCATTAATGTCAATCTCCAACACAATCATTTAAATGTGTTTTAATTAAACAATCAATATTCCTTCGATTGATTAGAAACTTACAACAATCATTTCAAGTCGTTCAAAATGTATATAACGTTTTTGTATTAAATCATTAACAATAGTTGGTGTAGCTATTAAAAGATCACAACCTTGTGTTAAAAATTTTTTATATAATTCATTTTCAATATTTCGTCCTTCATAAATACAACATATTATTATTTTTTTTAATATATCTGTATTAACATTAGATAAATGTTTATATGTATTTTCACAAGTAAACCAATCGGGTGCAAGAATTAATACTTTTGGATAAACAATATTTGAATTTAATGATGAATTAATATTTGTTGAACGATAGAAAATATTCCATATTAATAAATCATATTTTAAAACAAATTTTACTCTTGTTATTTCTCGTGTTGTTGGATGATCAACAGCCCAAACATTAGCACCATGATATATTAATGGCCATAAATAGGATATAAATGGTGGTAAATAATTTGTTTGAATTGATTGAATAGGATTTATATTAGATTGACAATAAAGTGTACTAGAATATAAATAGAATTTTTAAAATATACAAAATAATTGTTTATAGATGATAATATACCAAACATCAGGATGAAATTTAGCATCTGAAATTGTTAGCCATGGTTGAAATGTTGAATCAAGATTATCGAAATTTATAAGACATAAAGATCGTTCACGTAGTTTCGATGATAACATTTTTTTTTTCACCGGAATGAAATGAATGGCATCTTAAAGATTAAAAAAAATTTTTTTTTTTGTAAACTTGTTCAACGGATTACAACCAATATAATAAATCAAATACATCGTAGCCTCCCTCCCCTCCTGTTCATATATAAACCAATCCATGAAAGTTTAATAAATTAAAATAACGACATCTATTTTAATTTTATTTTTATGGCATAGTATTTGACGAATGAATAATAAATTGACAATATTATATATAGGCTTGTGTACTTGTTTGTTTTATATCTTAACAGCAATAAAATATGAGTACATCAAATACAAGTGCAACAAAACCTGAACAAAATGTTCGAGTTTGGATGGATGGTTGGTAAGTATGAAATTATTTTACCTAGATATCTAATTAATATTCTATTGATTGTCTTTAAACAAGAACCTTTCTTTTTTTTCCATATGAAACTATAATGATTTATTACGTATGACTTATAAATCAAAAGAGAGTTACTAATTATTGAAAATTTAGGAATGAAAACTTTCAATTTAGATGAAAAACACACGCACACACGCCGAAACTTATTAATTCATTTTGGAAACGAGATAAATCTTTAGCATTTTTACATTATTCTAATTAGAATTGGAGTACTTACAATACATGGAAAATATTATCAGGAGTTGTTTGTACAAAAAGCGTTGCTTAGTAAAGCAAATGATGTCATTGTAAAGGTGACTCATTAATAATCATCGGTTTCAGATAATGTTAGTGATAGAAATACTACACGAATAGAAAAATAAACATTATCTGAGTCATACTAGACTTACTCCATCAAATTAATACATTTTGAGTAATGACATGTGACACGATGAAACAAAAGTTCTTCGAATCGAACGAAAATATTTAGTTAAATTTTATAGCGAATTATGTAGTAAATCATACCAATCAATGCAAAAATTCAGAAGAAATGACCAAAAAAAAAGAACATATTGATTTAAAACCAATAAATTCTAACATAGTTTTCTGTAGCTTGGAATTAGATCAGATTCAACAGAACTATAACTGAAATTCGAAATTAAAAAAATACAGAATAGAAAATATTTTCTTATTATTAGTTATGATATGGTACATTTTGGTCATGCTAATGCTTGTCGACAAGCAAAACAAATGGGTACTTCTTTAATTGTTGGTGTTCACTCTGATGGTGTGTATTGAATTTTTCATATATATCTATCTTTTTCTAATTATATTTCTTTAGAGGAAATTACTAAACACAAAGGTCCACCAGTATTTACAGAACAAGAACGATATAAAATGGTTCGTGCTATTAAATGGGTGGATCAAGTTGTTGAGAATGCTCCATATGTAACAACACTTGAAACATTAGAAGACTATAATTGTGCTTTTTGTGTACATGGTGATGATATCACTGTAAGACAAAGAAAATCTTTTATCTACCTTGTTAATAATTCATAATTTATTTTTTTTAAAAGGTTACGGCTGATGGTGTTGATACATATCATATAGTCAAAGCTGCTGGGCGCTATCGAGAATGCAAACGAACACAAGGTGTATCAACCACAGATCTTGTTGGAAGGTTTGAATTGTTTATTTATTTATTTATTCTATTAGAATTATTTTAGAATGTTATTAGTTACAAAAAGTCATCATGAACCTGATGATATGTTACCAGATCCAGAGAATACACGTCGAATGAGTTTATGTAAAGAAAGTGTTAGTCCATGGACAGGTGCTTCACAATTTTTAGCAACAACTAATAAAATTATACAATTTTCTAATGGTCGTGAACCAAAAGTAAATCATATATTTATTTTAAAATATAATTAAATGAGATATTCCAATATGTTTGTGTTGAATAAGAAATATTCATGTAAATAATTTCTTTTAGCCTGGAGATAAAGTTATTTATACAGCTGGAGCTTTTGATTTATTTCATGTTGGTCATGTTGATTTTCTTGAAAAAGTAAAAGCATTGGGTGATTATCTTATTGTTGGTTTACATGGTGATCGAGTAATTAATTCTAAATAAAGAAAAGAAAAATATTAAAAAAAAAAAAACAAACTATCATTTTTTAATTTATAGGTTGTAAATCGATATAAAGGAAGTAATCATCCAATAATGAATATTCATGAACGTGTATTAAGTGTCTTAGCTTGTCGAGTATAAATGAAAAAAAAAAAACAAAATCAAATTACAAATCTATTCTTTTGTTTTTTTTTATTATTATTAGTATGTTGATGAAGTTGTTATTGCTGCACCTTATTCTGTAACAATGGATTTAATTAATCATTTTAAAGTTTGTATTTAAAAATAAAGAATTAAAATTTAATTGTTCTTTTGTTTTTTTCTTAATAGGTTTCGCTTGTTGTTCATGGTCAAACAGATTATGAACCTGATGTTGATGGAAGTGATCCATATGAAGTACCTAAGAAACTTGGTATATTTCAACAAATCGATAGTGGAAATCCATTGACAACACAGGATATTATTACACGTATTATTGATAATCGGTTTGTTAATTTTATTTAAATATTTGACATAAAAAAATTTTTTTTTTTTTTTCGTTCTAATTTTGTAGATTACAATATGAAAAACGTAATAAGAAAAAAGAAGCAAAAGAAGCAGCTGCATATGAAGCATTTCAAAAATTAAAAGCTGAAAATCGAAATGAATCAACAGCTGTGAATATCGTATAAAAATGATGAACTATGAAAAAAAGAATCAATTTCGTTTTGTTTTTCATCTGCTGATAATAAAAATAAAACGTTCCAGGACTATTACCTTTTTTTCCCCCTCATTGATTTTACACATTTGTTCTTTTTTTTTTTTTTCGTTCTTGTTTTTCAAGAGCATTTTATTCATTGTTGAATCATATTGATGACGTGATGATTTTTTTTTTCATTCATACTTGTAATAATATTAAAAAAAAAAAAAACTCGTTTTTAGACAACTCAAATACAATGATAAATAACGTGCATAACAAGTTAAATAATATTTCATATTCAAAATCATCATTGAACTTGTTTTATTAATATCTAATAAGAGATAGTATTGAGATAAATGTTCATAGCAAAACATTTCAAACAGAGTACGTATAAGGATGCACATATTACTTTGAACGTTTAAATAATCTTCTTTTTGAAAGTTTTTTAATAAAAATCTACGGATGTATTTTTAAATAGTTTTGATTTAATGTCGTGCGTATATAAAAAGTGAGAGAAAAAAGATAATATCGAGGCAAAGGATCAAATGTCATGCACATACAATTAATAAAATTAACGAGTGAAGCAAATGACAATACATCAAAAAATAAGCGAGAAGTGTTAAAATTTTCTCTCGTTGTTTTTTTTGTAAACTTAACTGACGAAAGAAATTTCTCAAAATTGATTAATCGTGTTTGAATCAGGACTACGTATATGCTGGGAGATATTGCATTTTGACGGGTTTTTTAGTCAATGTTGTGGTCCGTCTCAGAAAAACTGATTTCAACTTGAAGTTTTAGATAGACACAGATCTTAGTAAGAATAGTTCATGGTGAAAGTTTCAGATATTTTTGTTGTTGCTATGCTAAGATAATGCTATGGTAAAAGTTCGTTTTGTTACATGACTCGTATATATCGGCAGATTCGATGTTCTTATTTTAGGAAAGAAGCAAATCAAAAGATCTGAAAGAAACTACACGCGGTAAGGTCTGTCTCTATGCAAACTTTCAAGTTAAAATTTAGAAATGAGTTTTCTTGAGAGGAACCATGGCATTTTATTAGAGTCTTGATGAATTACATACTCTCGACTCAAAACAGACTAATCAGTTGGAAGACTTCCTTCATGAGTATAACTTTGTACAGTAAAGTAATCTTCTTTGATTAATTGAATATTTTCTAAGATACATATTTAAGAAAACGTCTTGTACATTCAACAAATAAAACATAAACATTTATCTGATAAAGATAAAAACAATCTGTAAAAATGTCTGTCCTACACGAACATATTTCTTTTTAAATGATCGACTTTTTTTTAACGTATTCATGATATTTTTTCAAGGTTGAAGATCGGATAAACAACTCATTAAAATTTGTACTCATTTTGAATATTATGAATTATTAAATTAAACTTCAAAAAGTAATGCAAGATTTGAATACATTCGTGATAGTAAAAGTCGATAATTATATAATATTAAGAAAATGAAAAAAATATCTAATGATAGAAAATTAGTAAATTTATCGTTATAATGTTTGTCCGGTTTTAATCTATGCAAATAATTATGTCTAGTTACTTGTTAGGAGTTTTTTTTTCTTTTCCGGAATAGAAAAAAAGAAAATGCAACTTTTAAATATAAGAAAAAAAACTTCATTCAGCAGGAGGTCATTTTTTTTTTGAGTTTATAAAAGAAAAGAATACATATTTTGAAAAAAAGAAAGAAATGAGAGCTTATCGTCGTGACCGTAATTATTGGAGATCAATATTAGGAATTCTTGAAATTCTTATTATGGTAAAATAAACTTTTTTTTTCTCGTTAGAAAAAAAAAATCTCATTTTAATTATTTTCTTCGTTTATTGATATGTCTTTTCTTTGGTATGATCTGTGCACTAATTGCATCTACTGGTTGGGCACAACAAGCTGATTGGGTTTCGGAAATATGTCAAGGTTATGCAACAAATCAATACGTTGCAGCATTAGTGGAATGTAGTCAAAGTTCGTCACCAGATGCATATAGATCACTTTCGGCAAATACAGTTAAAACAGCAACAATAGTTATTTTCATTCTTACTCTTGTTACTGTTTTTATTATTTTTTTAATTCATATATTTGCAGCATTACGTAAACGAAAAATTTGGAAAATTGCTTCTAGAATAGTATGTATAATAATTTGATTTCTGTTTTTTTTTTAAATAAGACACATAACGTATTTGTTGTTCGAAGTGATAGAAAGAAAAACAGCAGGAGTTATAAGATTAAAAATAAATATGATTCTATCTTAATACACGTTTTTAAGAAATCTGAAGTTGCTTATCAATACTGTTTACATAGTTACACTATTATATATGTTTAGTACCTATAAGTTACTAATAAGAAATATTACTTTTCTCAAAAGTCGAGATACTTGAATATCGCGAAATTTGTAGTTAGGAAGTGAACACATAACTTCTTTACTTGATTTATTAATAATCTCTAATTTGTACTTACAATTAAAGGCAGTTTCTATCCAAGAACGTTTTCTTTTTATTATATGATAAATTTTATTTAGGTTGCCATCATTTTTATTCTATTCTTTCTTCTTGTTCTTGCCATATCAATTGCTGCAATTTTTTGGGAAGTAAAATTATCAACTGTATTTGGTTCTCTTTATACATCAAATTCTTATCAATCAACACCAAATGGTTATCGTAAAGCACAAACCGGTGCAGCTGGTGCAGCTGCAGTTAGTAATCATTGTTCTTTCTTTCTTTTTTTTTTCTCTAGTAAATTCAAATCTATTCTAGGGTTTTGGACTTCTAGCTGCATGTTTTCTACTTATTAATATTATTTGTCGTTTATTAGGTATTGGATCATTACGAAAACGAAATCGAAAACGAAAAATGCGTGTTGATGTTATAACTTAGATAAACTAATATCATTATTGATTTATGTTTTGTTTTTTTTTTTCTTTGTTCATATACATTTATAGAATAAAAAAAAAAGAGAGAGAGATGTCTGTATAAATTATTCTTGAAGTTTTTATTTATTTTTTAAATTTCTTAAACAGCTGTTTTGGGAAATTTCCATCGAAAAATACTTCCATCAGCACTAACAGATATAATATGTTGAGTATTTGGACAAATTTTAACTTTTTTCACTTCACTACCGTGACCAATACCAACACTATGTACGTCACCTTCATTATAACGCCATAACTAAATTAAAAAAATTTGTTTTACTTAACAAAAAAAAAACTACGAGCATTCATACTTTCACTAATTTATCGGCACTAACTGTAACAAAATAATTACCAACACTATCAATATCAAGTCCATTAATTGTTCCACTTTTTGATGCTTCTAATTCACGTATTTGTGCACCATTTGTTGCTTCCCAATAGGCTATTTTTCTATCTGTACCACCTGTTATTATATGATATTCTTCAGGATGATAAGCAACACATTGAAAAAGTGTATTTTCAAATAAAACTTGATTACGTGCAAAACGTCTTAAAATAAGACAAGAGAATTTCTTTTTTTTTATATTGAATAGTTCATTAATTTTTTTTTTTTGCTTTCTTTCTTACTTTAAATTCCAAATAATACAAGTACCATCAAGTGATGCTGTAACACATTCTGTATCTGATTTATTAATACGAATTGAAACAACAGCATTTTTATGTTCTTTCATTGTTGCTAAAAGTTCTTGTGAATTTGCATTTATTTGCCAAACTCGAATCATTCCTTCACCACCGCCACTAACTATACGACGACAATCATTTGTTACAGCAACTGCTGTAACACCACGATGGTGTGCATCATTGATTGTAAACATTTCACGACCAGATTCAGGATAAAATGCACGAATACGACCATCATCCCATCCACTAGACAAAAAAAAACAATATCAAAGAAATTTTGCATTTCTGAAGAAAAAATAAATTAAATATTTTTTTTTATCCCATTCATACCTAACAATCATTTTACCATCACGAGTAAAACAAATTGAATTACATGTTTTATTTGCTTGTGAAATACGTAATAATTCATTACCAGTTGGTGCATGCCATATACTAAATAAAGCAAAAGAAAATTTTATTATGTATATATATATATATATGGTTTTCTTTCTTACCGAATTTCTTGATAACTACATGTACCAAATAATTCAGAAGTTCCACTATAAAACAAAAAAAAAAGTTTTAATTCAAAGTGATGAATCTTCTTTTTATTTCAATTTACAATGGAAATGCAATATCTTGTATTGGAGAATTATGACATGTATTGATTAATTCCATTTTCCAATCAGCATAATTTACTTTATATATATGTGATCGATTTGTACCAATAAAAATCTATAGAAAAATACATTTCTGAAGACATAGAATAGTCGCAAAAATGCCTAAACTTTAATCTTTTAGTCTCATAGTTTAATCAACAATAGAGTATATTTCTTCAGACAACGCTATCTCAATATAGAAAACAAATCTTATTATGTGAGACTCTTCATTCGACAGCTTAGTGTTGCCTCAATCATCCATAAAAATTCCATGTCAAACTATTTTTAGTTTGTCTAGTTTATGAAGTGTTCTTTGAATTATCTCTACATGAAAGTTGATGGAAACCATCGAAAAGTGATCGATATCTTCAGCTAATTTTAACCATTAGCCAGCCTTGAAAATATCACGATCGCAGCGATCAATACTGAAATTATCCCAGACAAAGAAGGCTTCCTCATACCTCACGACTACAATCGATCGGAGTACGCTCGCTGTGATACAATACAGGCATGAGAATTTTTATTTATTAATAACAAAATGAAAGTTAACACGTTTAAGTAGTGGAAAACTAAAAAAGTATCAAAATAGCTATTTTTGGGCCCTGGAGAGAAAAAAACCACTGTTTTCATCGTAAATCCTTTGTATTAAGATCTGTCGATCTCGGATTGTTGCTTACGACCATGATTTAACAAACTTCACTAGTAGTCAAAATATCAGGTGAAAAGATTGAAGTCTATATA